TCGGCACATCGTCCTTGCCGAGCCTGCTGCTGTCCCGAGCTGGACCTGGTGTCCTGTTGCTCACCCACGTGTGGGCGTGCTCAGTTCTCCACAGCTCAGCACACAGGGAGCCTCATGTGTGCTGGCCCACTTTGTTGATGCTAAAATTAGTCGGCTTGGATGGTGGCAGCCTAACCCCTAATGCCTGACCCTGCCCCTCCCTCAGGCTGCAGAGCGACTTCTTCTGTTAATGACTTATTTTATTTGAAAGGCAGAGTTAGAGATCCTCCCTCTCCTGGGTCACCCCCAAATGGCCGCAACAGCCAGGGCTGGGCCGGACCAAAGCCAGGAGCTTCATCCAGGTCTCCCACGCAGATGCAGGGGCGCAAGCACTTGGGCCTTCTTCCACTCTCTTCCCAGGCCACAGCAGGGAGCTGGCTGGAAGCAGAGCAGCCAGGACCAGCACCCATACGGGATGCTGGTGTTGCAGGCGGCTGCTCAATCCACCATGCTGCAGCGCTGGCCCCACGACTGTGGCTGCACTCAGAGCTGGAACTCAGCACCCCTGCACTCGCCAGGCCACGTCTCCTCTCCTTGAAGTAAGGTTACAGCAGCGAGGCGGTAACACTGCCAAGGGCACGGCACACAGAGCCCCCCACACCACCCACCCGCCCCTCTCCTGAGCTTCGTGTACTTGTGGTCACCCCTGCAGGCCACTGCCTTGCAGAAGGAAGGTGTTTGGGGTGTCCCGTGTTGGCTGTGGGCCTGGAGCCTGTGGTGCTGCTGTCTAGCCGGGAGCTGAGCTCCCAGACCTCGCCCTGGGCCGAAGCTGTGACCTGTCAGCACTAACCGCTGTGGGTACACTTTGCTAAAAGAAGTCTTAGTCCACACTCATGTCTCCACCTACGTTCTTTGATTTTGTCTCTTGTAGGCCGGTGCTGCGGCTCAACTAGGCTAATCTTCCGCCTTGCGGCGCCGGCACACCAGGTTCTAGTCCCGGTCGGGGCGCCGGATTCTGTCCCGGTTGCCCCTCTTCCAGGCCAGCTCTCTGCTGTGGCCAGGAAGTGCAGTGGAGGATGGCCTAAGTACTTGGGCCCTGCACCCCATGGGAGACCAGGATAAGTACCTGACTCCTGCCATCGGATCAGCACGGTGCGCCGTCCGCAGTGCGCCATCCGTGGCGGCCATTGAAGGGTGAACCAACGGCAAAGGAAGACCTTTCTTTCTCTCTGTCTCTCTCTCACTGTCCACTCTGCCTGTCAAAAAAATTTTTTTGTCCCTTGCACTAAGTTGTAGTTCGTTACAACTGTTGCTTTTGGGACAAGTGTTTGGCTCCGGTTAAAATGCCACTTGTGGGGCTGACATTGTGACACAGTGGCTTAAGCCACCGCCTGCAATGCCAGTATCTATCAGAGCAGCGGTTCGAGTCTCAGCTGCTCCACATTTGATCCGGCTCCCTGCTAATGTGTCTGGGAAAGCAGCAGAAGACGGCCCAAGTGCTTGAGCCCTGCACTCATATGGAAGACCCGGAGGAGGCTGCAGGCTCCAGGCTTCAGCCTGGCCCAGCCGCAGCCATTGCAGCCATCTGGGGAGTGAACCAGCAAATAGAAGAGTAGTTTTATCTCTCTCTCTCTCTCTCTAACTCTGCCTTTCAAATAGTGTAAATAAATATTTTTTAAAAGTGTATTTTATAAGGCTGCTTGGGATCCCCATATCAGACATCAGAGTGCCTGGTTCAAGGACTGGCTCTGCTCCTGGTCTACCTTGTCATACACACTGTGGGAGGCAGCAGGTGATAGCTCAAGTCTTTGGGCTCCTGCCATCTTTATTTCTTTTTTATTTAAGATTTATTTATTTGAAAGCGTTACAGAGAGAATCTTCCATCCACTGGTTCACTCCCCAAATGGCCACCCACAGTGGCTGGAGCTGGGCTGATCTGAAGCCAGGAGTCAGGTGCAGGGGCCCAAGCACTTGGGCCATCTTCCACTGCTTTCCCAGGCCACAGCAGAGAGCTGGACCAGAAGAGGAGGAGCCGGGACTAGAAGTGGCACCCATATGGCATGCCGGCACGACTAGAAGTGGCACCCATATGGCATGCCGGCACTGCAGATGGAGGCTTAACCTACTACACCACAGCACCAGCCCCTGCCATCTTTTTATGCTTTCCCCATTGAAGATACAAAGTGGAAAGATATGTTATTTGAAATAATTTCTCTGTGTGCTTTGTTACCAATTTGGCACACAAATTCTTCTTTTAAAAATTTCACTTGTTTTTATTTACTTAAGAGTTAGACACAGACAGATGGCTCCCAACCCTGACTCACTCCCCAGACACCCACGACAGCTGAGCTGGGCTGGCCGAAGCCAGGAGCAGGAGCAGGAGCTCTGTCCCTGCCGCCTCCCGTGCTCTGCCTCAGCAGGACTCCAACCCGGCTGTCGGCTGCGGTGCGCGGCGTCGGCCGCCAGCTCAGCGCCTGCTCCCACGTGATGTGTGTTTCCTGGTTTCCGTCTGCTGGGCTGGTGTAGCTGGAGCCAGTGAGACTTCCACCGCACTCTCGAGCTCTGAGGGCCGCGTGGTTGCTGCTGTCACTGGGATCAGGGAGCCGTGCAGCCTTTGGAAGAAGCCTGGCGTGAGACTTGGTGGGTGGAAGCGCCTGTGTTCTGCCTCACGGTTGTCCACAGGCACCGCACCCCCGGCCTGGCACGCGGTTGGGCACATGGCAAGTTTCCCGAGCAACATGCGTGTGGCTGTTTGCTCTGGTGCCAGCCTGGGCGCAGAGCAGAGAGTGGGCGAGGCCTGGATTCTGAACTTGGTCATGGGGAACTCCGCGAGCATCGTCTGTCTGGGTTTTGTGGCCTTGTGCCTGGAACTTATGGTCAGGCAGTGAGTGGCCACACAGGGCTTGTGGCCATGCTGGCCAGAGGGGCCTCCACCATGAGCATCTGCACTGGAGGGAGTGGAACAAAGTGGGGTCTCGGGTCTGTGGCAGGCTCTGAGCCTGGGCGCTCTGTTACTCCACAGCCTTGTCAGGTCAGGTTCGGAAGCCAGGAGCCAGGAGCTTCTTCCAAGTCTCCCATAAGCCGGCAGGGACCCAAGCACCTGGGCCATCTTCCACTGCTTTCCCAAGTCATAGCAGAGAGCTGGATCGGAAGAGGAGCAGCTGGGACTCGAACCTGTGCACATGTGGGATGCTGGCGCCACAGGTGGTGGTCTTACCTGCTATGCTACAGTACCGGCCCCCTGGTCTGTTTCCAATAGAAAATGCATACCAAGTCCTCGGCACATGTGAAATAAGACACAGGAGGCACCAGGTCAAGGGAGATGCGGAAACCCCAGCCCAGGCTGAAAGTGGGAAGTGGAGTCCGCTCATCACTTCTCTCTCTCTCTCTAGCTTTTCCTCTCAAATAATTTTTTTTTAAAAGGACAGAGACTAACTGGACACACATGCAGGCTGCTGGTCCCTGTTTCCCTAAATCCTGCTGTTGCTCCCGGTGACATCACATTCCATGCTGGGAATATCCCAGAACATCTGGGCCCAAAGTGCAGGGCTGAGGACAGGACGCTGTCCCCTTCTGTCCACCTGTTGTCCCCAGGCAGGTGGAGCTGAGGCCACCTCGCTGGCATGTGCCCTGAGCTTCTGGGATCCCCTCTCCGTGTTTCCTGGGGTTGGGGGACACGGCAGGAGCAGGTGCTCAGGGAAGGGGTCCTGGGCCAGAGGCCTTGGATTTGGAGGTCTTGCTCCGCCTGGAGACCAGCAGGAGGGAGAGGCTGAGGGACGCAGCCGTGGGCCTGCCTGGGAGCCCTGTGCAGGGCACAGAGGCTGAAGCTGATGGGGGCGGGGGGACCCTGAGAGCCGAGGTGCTGTGAGATCTGGCACTTGAGCTGTGCGTGTGCGTGTGCACACGTGAGCACTGTTGCGGCCCATGTGAGATTTCAGGAACACCCATTCTGCCAGGAAGACCCGGACATGGCTCTGGGGAGCTTGGTGGCCCCATCTAGGAGGGACAGGTGTCCAAAGCAGAAGTGACGGATATGGCTGTGGGACTGCTCCTGAGCCACCTCCCTGTGGCTCCTCAGCCAAAACTCTGCCCTGGGAGGGGTGGAGACGGTCTGGGAACCCCTTGCTGAGGTCGAAAGAGGCCCTGGGGTGTGGCATCGGGGCTGGGTCATGCGGTATCTGGAAGGAGGCCAAATCCATGCTGTGTCCGTCTTTGAGCCCCAAATCCCTGCTCTGCACTGAGCCAGGGACCGTGGAAGACCCCATAGCCACGTTGCAGCCGCAGCAAACCTGCCAGGTCCACTCCCTGTCCCTCCCACTGCTGTCCCACACCCTCAGGATGCCTCCCACACGCGTCCTGGTTTCTGCCCTGGAAGCTGGATAAGCAGGCGGTTCGGGGGCGGCCGCGTCCCTGACCTCAGCTGGCCGGGCCCGGATCAGGCTGTGGCCGCATCCCTGACCTCGGTTGGCTGGGCCCGGATCAGGCTGTGGGCGCAGCAGCAGAGAACCAGCTCCGACTTGCAGGGGTTGGGGTGTGCATTGCTGTTTCCTCAGACAAAGCAGGCTTAATCCCCTCAGACCCAGACCACTGTGGATGGGGCGCCTCTCCTGGGCCCCTTCCACACGCCCAGCCCAGTGGCCAGTGCCCCGTGTGTCCCCAGCACCTCAAAGGTCTTGGCCCTGCAGCCCCGGAGACAAAGATCTCCCCCAGGACTGAGGTCAAAACTTTATGCTCCTTAGGGGCCCTCAGAGCTGGGACTTGGACCCTCAACCCACCCTGGCCCTCCCGCCCAGGCACGCCCACTGTCCTTGGTTGGACTAAAGTGTCATGAGGCCGCCAGAGGCTTCCTCCCCAGCAAGGCCTGCCGGCTCCAGACGTGTGAACACCTGCAGATCCCGTGAGCCTGGAGGCCCAGCTCCTGTCCCTCCCCCCTCCCAGCCCCCACACCATTCTCAAGGGATTCCACCACCCCCCCCCCAGGATGCCACGGGCAGAGCCTTGAGCACTGGAAGACTGCCATCAACAGTGAAAACCATGGTTTGGACTTTATTGCCCACGGGCCGTCGGAAGCCACAGGGAGGCAGGGCAGGGCTGGGCCTGCATTCAGCCCGTGTCCCCAGCACCACTCCACATGGGCTGGGGGCCGCAGGGACAGCTCCTGTGGGCCTGCCCGGGGCAGCCTGCACAGCCGAGCCTTCCTGGTGTCAGAGTCCATGGGCGGGGCGGGGCGGGGCGGGGCGGGGCACAGAGGGGAGATGGGGACCAATCTGCACTGTGGTCAGGCGTGCTGCATGGGCCCCACAGCCTCGGTCCTCCTTCCAGAGACGAGTCTCACACCATCTGCTGGGCCTGCTGCCTAGAGGGACCGAGGCCAGCTCGTGTCCTGAGGGGGCCCCTCTGGGGCTTCTCGCTGGAGAAGTGAAGGGAAGGGCTCAGGCGGCAGGCAGGCCAGCTCCAGGCCATGCTCCTGGAGGGCCTGGTCTGCGGGGGAGCAGTCGGGTGGGGAGGGGGAGATGCTGTCCGGGTGCTGCAGGGCTTCTGGGCTGGGCAGCAGCCGCTGTCCAGCTGGGCGCCTCATCTCTCCGGCAACAGCACAAAGACAGCCGCCTTGAGGAAGCGGCCGAGGCTGCAGAGCGCAGCCAGGAGCCAGTGGGAGCGGAGGCCAGGGTCCGTGCTGACCACACACTTGAGCACGTCGGTCTGGGAGGGGAGAGGGACAGTGAGCTAAGCAGAGACCACAGCCAGGAGAGAAGCACGAGGCGAGGCGGAGAGCTGGGCTCCCGGGAAGGGGCAAAGCCAGACTCTCGTGGAACAAGAGCGTGCTGGTTTCCCTGGACATCTGAAGTCTTCTGGAAGAAGGAATGGGTGTCTACCCCTTGGCCTCCCATCTTCCTATTCCTGCTAAGAAATGACGTCGTCCCTTGGCCTGGTCTGCCCGCAGCATGGGACCAGAGTTCCCCATTCACCTCCCTACAGGGGCTGGGCAGAGGACAGCAGCCTTGGAGTCCATGCTGAGGGCCGCCACAGACCCCACCTACGCGGCCTGCAGCCTCGCCGGATCCTGCATCAAAGGACCCCAGCAGAGGAGCCCCCGCTGCCGCCCAGCTACTCCCATAGACAGCTGTGCTCGCCAGTTCACAGTGCCTGCGGCTGGGGGCAGGGAAGCAGGGGGTGGTCTGCCCTGTTCTGAGAGGCGGGGCTGGGCTCCCCCCGCATCAGACAGGAGAGGTTGGGACAGGCAGGGCTTGGGGGTGGGGGCTCACCCATCCGCCGCGCCGCCGCAGCCAGGTGGCCAGGGTCTTCCGCACAAACTCCCCCAGGCAGTCAACCAGGGCGTGGACCATGGCGGGCTGGGCCTGCCGCACGCAGTCCACGGCCAGCCCTGCGGCCACAGCATACAGGGACACCACCTTGCCCCACGTGATGCCTGCAGAGGGGGAGCCGCAGGTCAGCAGAACCCCCCATGGAGGGCTCAGCCTCTGGGGGTCCCACTCCACAGCACGTGCGGCCAGCGGACACTGGTGCCAGGCTGGTCACCCCTTGGGGAAGTTCCCAGGGGATTTCTTAGCCCAGGGTGAGCCCGCCAGGAAGCAGTGGCCAGCAGGAGCCACTGAAACTGAGCAGGTTGTAGCCCCCTGCGCCTGCTTGTCCACTGTCCTGGACACCCTGCAGGCAGCAGTGCAGGGCCCGCTGTCCACGAGCCAGGAGGAAAGCAGAGGCCACAGGAGGAAGAGAGGTAGGAGGCCCTCGAAGGAAAAGACAGGCGAGTGGCAGCCTGGGGAAGAGCGCCTGCAGGTTCCCCAGGGTGAAGCCTAGAGGAAGAAGAGTGCCGATTCGCCAGGAAACGCAGACGTGAGACACACGGGGAAGTGCTCGCCTCGCTCAAGGTCAGAGTGGTGGACTGGGCATGGGCTGTGATCCACCCACCACAGCCCCTCGGAGGCCATGTGTGCGTTCAGGCGACTGCGGTCCGGTCAGCCGTGACGGGCAGGATCCGACAGGGCAGACCCTCTGTGCTCCCCGGGGGCCAGCTCACCCCAGTCCATGCACAGGGAGCAGAAGGAATGAAGCCGGCCGGCTGCTACCGCTCCCCAGGCGAGCGTGAAAGAAGCCAGACACAGAAGGCCACCCACGCTGCCGGCTGCGCGTCCAGAAAAGGCAGAGTACGCAGCGCGGTTGCCAGAGGCTGGGCTGGGGGAGGGCGGCTGCTCAGGAGACAGGGCGTTCGTCACTGGGCTGTGCACTTCGTTTATGTTTATTTGGAAGGCAGAGAGGAGGCACAGAGAGAAAGAGAGAGATTTCCCATCTGCTGGTTCACCCCCCAGATGCCCACAACAGCCAGGGCTGGACCAGGCCAAAGCCAGGAGCTGGGACCCCTATCCTGGTCTCCCACGTGGGTGGCCAGGACCCAGGCACCTGAGCCATCACCACTGCCTCCCAGACTCGCAGGAAACGGGTGGGACTCAAGCCCGGGCACTGGTACAGGAGGAGACGTCCTAAGCCGGGTCTTAGCCGGGCCTGGACTTTGGGAGGAGCCCTGGAGCCAGCCCCTGCGACTCCCTTGCTGAAAATTCCCATCTCAGCACACACACCAGTCTGCTGGTGTAGACGGATGCAGACGCACATCCAGACGTCACATGGTACCCTAAAAATCTGCAATTTTTATGTGTCAATCATAAAGTTTTAAATCCACGTGTGAAGTCCCAGCCGAGTTGGCCCCTGACAGCCTCCCAGGCCTCGTCCTGCCACCCCCCACACCCCACCTGCAGGGGCTCCCACCGGGAGGGTCTGTCCCAGGTCCTCCTGAAGCCACCAGACCAGCAAGCTGACTCCACGACCCCCAGGGGAGCAGCTGGTCCCCTCCTGCCTGGGCCTTGTGGACACTTGTTCTGAGGGTCATGTGACGACCATGTGTCGGTGTCTGGAGCCTGGCAAGGCTGCAGGGGGCTGCAGCAGGGAGCCCTCGGCACCTCCTGTTTTCTTTGAGCTCCTCTGCGGTTCCTTTGCCGGCTGTTTTCCTCGAACTTTCTGAAGCACCTCACACACACGTCCTCACACAAGCTCCCAGCAGGTGCAGGCCCTGCCCCGTGTCTGTCTAAGTCTCTGCCCTTTGAGGCTCTTCCTGCTACCTTTCCTACTCGGTGCACTTTTCTCCTTTTTCACTTTGAAAGGTAAAGAGCCAGACGGAGAGAGACCTTCCACCTGCTGACTCACTCCCCAAATGCCTGCAACCACCACGCACGGGCTGGGCCAAAGCCAGGAGCAAGGAACTCAGCCTGAGCCTCCCACATGGGTGGCAGCCATTACTGCCACTCCTAAGGTGCGCATCAGGGCTGGACCCAAGTGGAGTGGCCGGGACCTGAGCCAGGATAAGGGCCCAGGCAGAACCACTGAGCCAACACCTGCTCCCTGGGGTCTCTTTTTTATTTAGGTAACAGTCTGTTACCGTAAAGTTAATTTGTGAAAAGCATGTTTTACTATTCAGGATGCGTCGCTCCAGCGAGATCGCACTGTGCGTCCTCAAGCTTCGTCCACACTGCACCCTCCCTGCTCCTGCCGCGTGATGTTCCCGGGCAGGGCTGTGCCGCGGCTGGCGGCTGGCGTCTCCGCCTGCTGCCTGACACACACGTGGGCTGCCTCCACCTTCTGGCTGCTCTGGGTAGCGCGGCCATGAACGCTGGCGTGCGAGTCGGTGTGCGCAAATGGCTCTACCTCTTGGCAGTGACCGTGAGGCCTGACTCCTGCTGCCAGTGGCTGTGTCCAGCGGTTTTGCTGTGCACCTCCCCCTGCCGCCGGCCTCACGTCTTCCCGTGTGCTTGCTGGTAACCGGCCATTCCGCCTTGTGTCCAGCGGGGCCTGGCTTGTTCATATTTATGTGTGAGAGTTCTTTACATATTTCTCCTCTTCTCCTGTGACAACAGGCCTGGCTCGTGGGACAGGCATGTGGCACAGCCCGTTAGTGCCAGTCCCAGTCCCAGCTCCTCTGCTTCTGATCCGGCTCCTGGCAGGCAGCAGCTGATGGCCCAATGCTTGGGCCCCTGCCACCCACATGGGAGTCTCGAGGGGGAGCCAGGCCCAGGCCTGGTTGTTGTAGGCATTTGGGGAGTGAAGTGGTGGGTGCAAAATCTTTCTCTCCCAACCCCCAGCTGTCACTCTGCCCTTCAAGTAGATGAAAATAAATACACATCTAAATAAAATTTTCCTCTTATAAGAAGGAAAAAAATGAAAACTGCCAACTTTTAATCAAGGTAAGAAAAATGAGTTTTCCACTCACAAGAGCTCCAAAGCCCAAGCAGCGCCAGCTGTCTCTGCCCCGGGGCTGGGTCTCCGTGAGGCCACGCCAGAGCCCGGCTGTATCACAGCGGCCCAGCCAGGGGAGGTCCAGGCTGGTGGCTTTCGTGCGGCCACACTCACACCCCAGGGCCTTGCCAGGAGGAAAAGTCCTGCCTGAGGGGCATTGTGTGCCCCGCCGGCTGCCACGGGGCAGGAGGGCAGGTGTGGGACCTCAGGGCACTGCTCTGGGGTGAAGTGTTGGGGGCAGCCTGAGAGCCAAGTGGCGGGCCTGGGACCCCGCTCTCCCGGGCAGCTCTGCCTTGCTCCCTCTCAGTGGCTCTGAGGCTCAGAGAAGTTAAGGCAGCCATCAAAGGCCACACAGCCTGTGAGGGGGCCCCTGCTCCCCATCGGCTGGGCCACCCGAGTGGCATCAGGGCCTGGGTAGAGGCTGCCTCAGATGTATGTGGGGGCCTCCATGAGACAAGCCTGCCTGCTGGGTGGAGAGGGGGCTGCTACAGGCTAGGCCCCGTCTTCCAACAAAAGCCACTAGATTTAAACTGAACTTTCAAAGCTGAAGCCTGATGCCCGGGTCCTGCTCAGCTGCGGGCCCACCCCTCTCTACCACCTGCCCCCTACCCGGCAACCCCTCAGAGCCTCTGCTGTTGGAAGCACCCACCTCAGACCTCACTGCCCTGCTCTTCACACCCCAAGAGCCACAGGTAACGGGGTGCTGCTACCTCTCCAAGGTGCCCCAGAGAGCCACCCTGCCTGGGACTCATCTTTGACCAGCAGAATCAGCAGACTGACCTGTGACCTCTGCGGGTACATGTGGAGAGCCTACAGTGCCCAGCCTGGCTGCTGGGGACCCAGCACTGCACAGTGAGAAGCCACAGCACCCTCAGCAGGACCACAGCACCCCCAGAACGAGGCCCAGGGCTCCAGGAGCCGCAGCCGCTCCAGCACCATGGGCCAGTCTGTGACACCAAGAGGCAGCGCCAGCGGCAAGAAGGCACATGTGAGGCCCAAGGACCAGTCTTGGGAGCCTGCCATGATCCAAGACCCCAGCCCCTCCCCGAGCCACTCAGGGTGGTGGTGCCAGGCCTACCTGCAGAGAAGATGTGGCCAGCCACGGCCAGGAACGCGTCGGTCACCACGGGCTCGGACTGCAGGGAGATGTGGAGCTGGCGGGCCACGTTGCGGTAGACACTGGGCCGAATCAGCTCCAACTCGTCCCCTGCGTGCCACACGGATGCGTCAGCCCCCGCGGCCCAGCCTGAATGCACCTGAACTCGGGCCCGGCCTCCCACTTCACCTGCCCTGATCCCCGTCCTCACCTAACCCTCTCCCACCTCAGCCCCTTGAGACAGAGAACAGGGAGGTGTGCAGGCGCCACCCCGCTTCTGACAAGCCGGCCCCCCAGGGCCTAGCTGGCCGGGCCGGTGGGGCAGGAATCCTGTGGAGGAGGGTGGGCCGTGCCTGCCCGGTGACTCACGGCAGGCAGCAGGAGGGACCAGGCAAGAGGCCAGAACTCAGAACCCGTCCTGGGGAGGGGCTGGGGAAGACAACACAGGTGGGCACCCCCTCCCGGCTGCCTCAGAGGGGCTCAGGCCCTAGTGGCATTTGGGGGTGGCTCCAAGAGGCCCTGAGCCACCAGTACCCACACTCCGACCCGGGCTCCCGGTGCCAAGGGGTGTGTTTGGATGTGCTCTGACCCCAACGGAGGAAGCGCCCCCCCCACAGGCCAGGGAAGATGGGCCTCGGCCTGAGTGCCCCCAGCCTGGCCACTTTGCAGCCAAAGCCAACAAGGAAATGCTGCTGACCAGACCGCCCCGGGCTGCGAAGGGGCCAGTGTCACCCTGGAGCCAGCTGTGCTCCATCGAGTCCAGTAAGACCGGGGACCAAAACAGAGCCGCGAGGCCAGCGGGGTGGGACATGGCACGGAAAATCCCAGACCTCAGGAGCCGCTTGGGACCGGTCCCCAGAGACCAACTGTCAGCTGCTTCTGTTCTGCGGGGGGTGGGGGGTGGATCCCGAAGGGAGACAGCGCAGGACCACGAGGGGACTCAGGCCTCCCCCAGAGCAGCTGTGACAGCAGAAGGCGGTGAACCAGGCTTGAGGGAGGTCCAAGCTGTCTCCCTCCAGGGCCGCCTGACTCAGCCCTGCCCCCAGCCCAGGGCAAAGCCTCAGGCTCTCAGAGTGGGTCCAGAGTGGCTGTGAGGGCACAAAGGCTGTGGGCCAGGGCTGAGGCAGGACTTCCTGCCGGTCAGCCAGGCGTCTGGGGGCTCTGACAGACCCAGAACACCCACCCCCACCCAAGTGGTTCTCACAGCCCAGCTAGGAGAGACAGCAGCAGGCAGTGGATCTTAGGGGCCCTGTCAATCAGATCAGACTGTGGACATCTGGCCACCCCCTCAGAACAGCTCTGTCTGTCCTCCTTCCGCTCTGGTGTGTCACCAGAGAGCTGGACACTGACGGGCACCCACAGCATCCGTCCACGCCACCCCGACACTCACTCTCGAGCAGGCTGGGTCTACGCAGCAGAGCATCAGACCCCAGGGGCTGCCCCAGAGTCCACCCCAACCACAGGCCAGCCTCGCGACACTTGCCTGAGAGCCCCCCACTCAGGGAGTCTGCTTTGCTGCCCCCCTCCTCCTGGGCACTGCCCTGGGCCTCCTGGGCTGTGGGGAAGAGGGGCTGCCAGGGTCAGGCTTTGGCCAGCTCCTCCCTGGCTGTGTGCAGCCCCAGAAACAAGCCCCCCCCCCCCCCCCGTCTCCCCAGGCACAGGGCAGCCACGGGGGAGGGGGGACGAGGGTGGAATGACCGCAGGGCCCTTGGAGGCTTCCAAAGCAGTGGATTTCAGCTGGTGACTCCGGCCCTGTCTTCCAAAACAAACACGGGACACGTGGTCCCACAAAGGCGTTCTGGGCCCAGCTGAGGACAAGGGTCACTCAGGAGTCCAACCTCTGAAACATTCTCTCTGGAGCTGTCTGTCTGAGAGTCTGGGATCCGGACGGAGCAGGCAAGGGGAGGGGGTGGGAGGCAGCGGCGCGTGCCGCCACCCGGGCCGACCGCAACCTCCCGGGCGGCCCCGTCCCTCCGCCGGGGGAGACCCAGGGCAGGCGCCTGGGGACCCGCCCGCACTCACCCAGGCGCAGCAGCACGGCGCACACCTCGGCCAGGCGGCCGCCGGGGGCCGGTGCGGCGCGCTCGGGCGCGCTCCAGGCGAGGCCGGCGCGCAGGAGCCGCGCGTGCACGAACTCCCGGCCCAGCGCCTTGGCCTGGGCCACCAGCTCCTTGTCGGTGGGCGACCGGTCAAAGGCGTCCATGATCTCCGCGGCGAGGACGGAGGAGCGCCGCAGCACCTCCATGGCGGGCACGCGGGCGGGGGACGCCGCACCTGCGGGCAGACAGCGCTCAGCCGGGAGCTCCGGGGTCTTACGGATCCGGATCCAACTACAAAGACCTCCGCGGCGGCCGGGGAGCGGTGGGAGGTGCCGCCGAGACAGGCGACGCGCGCCCCCGGCCGCTGCGCCCGGCCCCGAACCCGCGGCAGCCGGCACCCGGCCGGGCCCCGCACGCCCGGGACCGCGCAGTCCAGGCTGTCGGGCCCCGCCACGCCGCACGCGGACCCCCGCGCGGCGCTCACCTCTGCGGCCGCATGGCGCGGGCGCGGGTCTGGCTCAGGCTCTGCGCGCCGCCGCCGCCGCCGCCCTCGACGCGGGCATCCAAGCCGCGAGAGCGCGCTCCGCCTGCGCCGGGCCCGGGGGCGCCGAGCCCGCGCAGCCGCCTGCGCGCGGGGGTCCCGGCCGGTGGCGTCGGGGCGCGGGTGCGACTGCCCGCCCGCCCGCGGGAGGCGAGGCTTGGGGCTTCGCCTTGTAAGGAGAAGGCGGCCCCGGGGGCGGAGCCTCCCCGCCGCCCGCCGGCCCGCGGAGCAGCGGGGGCGCGGCCGCGGCTCCCGGCTCCCGGCTCCCGCCCCGCCGCCCGCGGCTCCCGGCTCCCGGCTCCCGGCTCCCGCCCCGCCGCCCGCGGCTCCCAGCTCCCGGCTCCCGCCGCCCGCCGCCCGCCGCCCGCCGCCCGCGGCTCCCGGCTCCCGGCTCCCGCCCCGCCGCCCGCGGCTCCCGGCTCCCGGCTCCCGGCTCCCGGCTCCCGCCCCGCCCCGCCCCGTCGCGGACCTGGGCCGCCCGCTCCTCGTTTTCTGTGTTTTTCTTGTTGATTTGTAGGGCTTTCCGTATTCTGCATCGACGTTCTCGGCCTCGTTTGGCGACGCCGCCCACATCTTCCGCCTCGCTGAGGTGGCCAAGCGCGGCTTATCCGCCTTTTCCGTCAGGGTTAGGGCGTTTTCCGTCAGAACGTGATTCTTCGGGTTCGCATTGGAATCCGCGACGGGGCACAAGCGCACCGGCGCGGGAGGCGCTCTCCTCGCGGGCGCCCTCGTGGGCGAGCCCAGCGTGGGGCGGTGTCGCCGGACGGCCCGCGCCCGCGCTCTTTGTTCCCGTGCGGACAAGGGAGTCGCCGGCCGACCTCACTCGGGTAGCCACGGAGGACACACCTGAGCACGCGCAGCCCTGGACAGCCTCCGTCAACTCGCAAGAACGGGGTCTCGCCGCGTGTCCTCTCGGAAGGCGTCTCCAGGGGGCGGGAAGTGCGCCGGGCGCCAGGCGTTGCGCGCAGGAAACTTCCTAGTGTTGGAAAACCTTGCATGGTGATGCTCCAGACTGCAACTCGAGAAGCTAGAAAAAGGACGATAACAGTGAAACCCAAAGATGAAAGAAAAAATGAAAATAGCAGAAATTTTAAAAAAAGCAAAAAAAATCACTAAAGTCGAAAGTTGATTTTCAAGAGATGCATAGAACAGGTAAACCCTGTGATGATTAAGAGAAAATGCACACCCCAGGCGGGAGTGAAAAAGAGGGTGCTCAAAGGGAGAACCCGGGACAGCACATTCGAGATTTTAGGTGAAGCACAAGTTGCCAAAACCTACATTCGAGGAACAGGAACTCCAGATGGTTCTATGCCCATTAAGCAAGTGTCATCCGGAGTTTGACTCCGCCCACAAGGCGAATCCCGGCTTTATATGGTTTCATTGAGGAAGTCTTCTAAGCAGAGTATCTTTTGGAGAATTACCACAAATCTCACACAAACCCGTCCAGAGAGTAGGAAGCAGGAGGCTGTTTCCCACCACATTTTCGGAGGCCAGGGTGACATGGATACTGCGCAGACCAGAGGAGCAAGGCCGGAGTCCGCTGGCTGCTGGGAGGCTGGAGTCCGCAAGTGCTCAAGGAAGCTGTGGGCCTGCGCTTCCATCAGCGCCAGACACAGCCTGCAGCTTCTGCAGCGCGTGCCGCCCGGGCTCCCTGCGCTTCAGAGTAGAAAGACAGGCTACAGAGAGGGAGCATCTGTGGTCCCTGCAGGTCCTGGCATGGCCGGGCCCTGAGCCTTGCAGTTTCACGCCTGGACCCTGCTGCGGGGCAGGGTTTGTGCCTGAGACAGGAGCCAGGCAGCCACTCTGCAGCCTCAGGAAACTTCCCGCCCCCTCATGGCCTCAGCTTCCTACTGTGCAGGATGAGATCACCCTGTCTGCTTCCTGTCCCCTGGACTCCCAAGTGTCGAGGGTGAATCACCAGGCTTCACTGATAGGCACGGCCCCCTCAGTCCAGGGGCTGCGGAAACCAAGTGAAACCCAAAGCTCAGGATGTCCAGTACAAGAGAGGGACAGCAGTGAGGAGCTGGGAATGACCTCAGTGTTCATCAGCAGAGGATTAACCAATCTGAAGCACCACACACCCTTACCCAGACCTTAGAAAGCCCAGGGCTTGGGGCCAATCCCGTGGTGCAGTGGGTAAAGCAACGGCCTGCGGCGCCAGCATCCCATATGGGTGCCAGTTTGAGTCCTGGATGCTCTGCTTCAGGTTCAGCTCACAGCTAATGCATCTGGGAAAGTGGCAGAGGATGGCACAAGTCCTTGGGCCCCTGCACCCTTGTGGGAGAGCCGGAAGAAACTCCTGGCTCCTGGCTTCAGACCACTCTGGCTCTGGTGGTTGCCGCCATTTGGGGAATGAACCAGCAAATGGGAGGTTCTCTCTATGTGTGTAACACTGCCTTTCAAATAAATAAATACATCTCTGGGGCCAGTGCTGTGGCGCAGCGGGTTAAAGCCCTGGCCTGCAGCGCCGGCATCCCATATGGCACTGGGTTGAGTCCTGGATGCTCTGCTTCCAATCCAGCGCCCTGCTAATGTACCTGGGGAAGCAGTGGAAGTTGGCCCAAGTCCTTGGACCTCTCCACCCATGCGGGAGATGTGAAAGAAGCTCCAGGCTCCTGGCTTTGGATCAGCTCAGCTCCAGTCATTGCGGCCATTTGGGGAGCAAACCATCAGATGGAAGACCTCTTTCTGTCTTTGTCTCTACCTCTCTCTGTAACTCTTTCAAATAAATAAAATAAAGTAAATCTTAGAAAGAAAGAAGGCCCAGGTCTTGCTGGAGTCAGCGGAGGTCTTTCTGCTCCTCGAGGCCTGGGGTCAGATCCGCTCCCTCGCAGCCCGCAGCTCCCCAAGCGGTGCTTTGCCGGGGTCCCTCCAGTCACCCTGTGCCAGGATCATCGGTCTGCTCTCTGCTCTCATTGTGCTGCTGACGCTCTCTCTGCCCTGGGACTGGCCCTATGTGGAGCTCAGTCCATGGTAAAATAAAATAATACTAATAATATTTATTTTCATCTTTGAAAAGTAGAGAGAGCGAGCACAAGCAAGCCAAGGTCTCAGATGTCTCTCATTTGCTGGCTCACTCCCTAAATACACCAGCCCAGTCCAAAGCCAGGAGCCAGGAACTCCACCCAGACCTCCCATGTGAGCCATGATATGGGTCGAGTAGGACTTGTCTCCCCCAAACTCACGCAGGTGGTTAAGCTCTGCTGCTTGGTGCTAATGGTTGATGGAGTGGCAGTCAGTGTCAGAAGTGTGGCTGGTGGGAGGTCTCTAGGCCTCTGGGGACCATCCTCAGAGCATGGTTCTTGCAGGAGGGTTTGAGTTCCAGTTCCACTAGCTGTTCTCTCCGCTTCTTAGCTTCACCTGGGCCAGTCTCCCACAGACCCTGAACTGTAACTTCCGCACTGTCAGCTGAAGTTAACCTTTCCTTCCCAAGAAGTTCCTCGCAGGCATTCTGCTTAAAGCAACGAAATGCTAACTAATGCAGGCCCTCACCTGCTGCCCCCCAAGGTGTGCCTTAGCAGGAAGCTGGAACTGGGATCACAGCAGAGACTCAGCCCCAAGCACTTGGGATGCAGGCATCCCAAGCAGTACCCTAACCACTGCACCAGCTGCCCCCCTGCGCATCCACAACAGCCCAGACTGGCTTGACAATAGGGAAGTTTGTCAATTTATGGACCACACGTTCAGGGAGAGCCACTGCTCTCACACATGTCCACCATCGGCTCTGTGCGCCTCCGTCATGGCAGGTCCACAACTCCCCGTCCACATCCCGCAAATTCAGCCTTTGCCAGGCTCTCCCAGCCTCTCCTGCAGTGTGCTCAGCTCTGAACCAGTGGGGGAAGGAGCTAAACTGTCAGGCCTGCCTCATGCCTGGCCCTGGGTGTGGTCCAGGTGCAATCATGCCACAGAAACCTTGTGAAAAGGGTTAGGGCCCCTGAAGGTCCTCTGGGACATGGCCAGGAGGATGCTGGACTTCCACACAAACCTGCACACAGAGGCTGCTGTGTAGGCCACAGGAAGAGGACACAGGTGGGGTGCAGACCCCAGGGCACCCACACTCAGCGTCTCAGCCCCCCCGGCTCGCCTCTCTGGCTCCGTCCCTGCCACACAGCTCCAGCCCTGGGCAAAGCAGGGAAGGCAGCTGCGGATCAGTCACTGCGGCCTGAAGCCCTTCTGTGGTGCAGACTTCCCAGCAGCCAGGACCCTCCCTCCTTGGCGGCCGCCCGGCCCTGACTGGCAGGAAGTCCCAGCTGGACCCATTCTGTGGCCTGTGGGGCCTGCAGGGAGGGGTCCTCTGGACACCCCTGTCTGTGCAGTGGTTTCCTCCACTGGGCCCCACCGCCCCCCCGGACAAGCTCACAGGGTGAGTAGCCTGGGGGGGACTGGGTGGGTGTCCCAACTGCAGATCCTGGGGACAGGTGCTGACTGATGGAGCGCTCTGGCTCGTGCTCTCTCCCCCTCCCTGGCCTCCCAGCCCTCAGCCCCAAGGCTCCAGCCAGCAATGCTGCTACAGCCTGGGTGGGCAGTGTGGGGCGCCAGCCAGAGCCCCCTCTTTGGTGCCCCGCTGCCTCCTGGGACCTCAGGACACAGGCTGCCGCGAGGAGGGCGGGACCCACTCAGGAGGCCCAGGAGCCAGGACCTCTGCACCATGGGGGTGGGGGGGTCCTCCGCAGCGCTCCCGGGTCGCGGGAGGAAACGCCTTGTCCATTCTAAACTGGGCTTCTTGCCGCTGGCAACGTCCCCACAGCTAGGGTTTGAGTAAGGTCAGGCTCTGGAATTCAGGCACATAAAGTTTCGAAGTCATCAACTGATGGCCCTGGGGGGCAGGCAGAGTGGGAGAGCCGCAGGGCGCGCCCCACACCCGCTCCTCCTCCGCCAGCCTCTGCCCTCCCAGGGTCTGGGACAAGAACCTACCAAAGTGTGAGCCACAATAAGCTAATCCTCTGCCTTGTGGCGCCGGCACACCGGGTTCTAGTCCCGGTTGGGGCTCCGGATTCTGTCCGGTTGCTCCTCTTCCAGGCCAGCTCTCTGCTGTGGCCAGGGAGTGCAGTGGAAGATGGCCCAAGTGCTTGGGCCCTGCACCCCATGGGAGACCAGGAGAAGCACCTGGCTCCTGCCATCGGATCAGCGCGGTGCGCCGGCCACAGCGGCCATTGGAGGGTGAACCAACGGCAAAGGAAGACCTTTCTCTCTGTCTCTCTCTCTCACTGTCCACTCTGTCAAAAATAAAAATAAAATAAAATACAATAAAAAAGTGTGAGCCAAAAACACCCTTCCCCCGCGAGCGCCAGCCAGCGCGTGTGCTCTGCCGGGTCTGCAAGGCACTCCAGGGAATCCCACGCTCCGCGCAGGCGGCGCCCGCCACACCTGGCGAAGCTCCCCTTTTCCCGGGGTGCGTCCACCCTGGGTGCGCCCTCCACGGTTGCAGAGAGGGGTGGTGGGCAGGGGTGCACGGACCTCCACGCGGCAGCGCCGGGCCGCGGTGAGCGCAGAGCCCGGCCGCAGGCGCCGGCGGGACAACCCTGCTGAGCGGCCGCGTTTCCGAGCTCGGGCGGGAATACGCAGGTCCTGGGCCGTCTCAGCCGAGCCAGAGCCGGCGTCCCGGGCGGGTCTCGCGTCGCTTCTCGGCGGCCGGGCGGGGTGTGGGGCTGTGGGGGGCACCTGGCGGGAGGAAGGCCGGGGCGGATTCCCTGCCGACGTCTCCACATTCCTGCCGGTGAGAGGCCAGAGACGGCAGCACGTGGGCGGGGGCGCCAACGCCACCTCGCCGTCCCGGGGGCCGCACGGGGACAGCGG